ATGCATGCCAAGGCTTAAAGCAGCAACAACGCTACACGTAAAAACTGATGATGGTGGAAAAATACACCGAAACGTATTTTAATTGATAAATAAAGACACTAAATGACTGAAACCCAGGAATTAATGTTGATTTATATAAATAAGGGCTGGCAAATCGAACTGTTACTTACCTGAACAATTTCGAACGCACTGAGCGAGTTGTTCAACTTGAGTCAGCAAAAGCCTCAAGTGGAATGTGGACCAGCAGGCTGGTAATCGTCCAAAAAATGACGATCACGTAATTTTTCGAATAAAATTAGAAAACCCCAACGGATTGGAGCGCCGAGTTTCCACTTGCATATTGGAAATTAATCATTAAGCGATTGTTCTCAATCGATTCCGAGCCAATGCACAAGCGAACTTGTCTCAGGTTGATTGATATGCATGGAAAACGTATGGAAATTGTGTCCAAGAGTGTTGCACATATAGGCTTTGATCTGGGAAAACTGGGAGCTGCTCCAATTTCCCCAGCTGGTGTTGTTGACAAACTTCGAGCGGTAATTTATGGAGTTTCACCAGAAATATATTTTGATCAATGGAAACTTTTCGGATTACAACGGATTTTGGCAGTTGATTGTAAAGAGTTTTCCCAATCGGTCCAATGAGGTTTACATGCTGTGAGCTTAAACTTTGCCCAGTTTTCTGGAAAACTGTTCCAAAAAAATGCAAGTTTGGGTTAGATGGAGAGCTTAAGGCAATTGTTTCGGTTAAAATGTTTGCTTCATTGCGAAGCAAGCATAAATTACATTGCATAAGAGAAAACAGGTACATTTTATGCAAAATCGACCGGAAAATGTTGTGCATTTACGAAAATCTGGTTCATGAACATAAAACGTTGATTAAAAAGTTGCCAATACACGCCACCAACGCCTAAACCCAACGGAATAGACAGAAATGGACACAACACTTTGTTGCTTTGTTCAAAATTTCCAAAAAAATCTGGCCATTATACCGATTTAACGTCAAAAAAACTTTACCTATATTTACATGTAAAAAACGCGATGATTTTGTGTTATTTTGGACGTTTTATGTTAATTTTTATTTTTTTTATTTCGTGGTTTAAACAGTATTTAACACCAGAGGCCACGCTAATTCTAACTCGGCCAGAATACGGAAAGCACATTTTCAAGAAATCGTCAAACAACAAAAAATTGAAACCAAAACTCAATTAAAATTCGTTCATTTATTTACCCAAAAAACGGAAAAAATCGCCAATTATAGTGGTTTTTTAAATTTTCTTTAACTAATTTAGTTTTGCTTCTAAAATCGTATAAATTTTAGCTTAAAACATTCATAACTTTCTGTTCATTCCTATTCCTTATGTAAAAAATGAACTTACCAGATTCTAAACAAGTTTTTTTTGAGACGTCGGAGATACAAAAGATATAGGAATGAACAAAAAGTTATGAATCTTTTAAGCCAAAAAATTTGTACCGCTTATAAAGTGAGCAAAAACCTTAAAAAAATTACAGTTTGATTTTTTAGAAGCAAAACTAAATCAATTATAGAAAATTTTGGAGAGCGCTGAAACTTTTTTGTTCTACAAAAGTCTGCTTGAGTTTTCCCGGACTTCCTTGCGTGGTGATTCCAAATAAATCTTAGTTTGAGTGAAGGAAATTAAGGGTTTTGGCAATTTTTTTACATTTGAAACAGTTTAATCCAAATTTTCTGAAAAGTCAAAGATAATGGGAACTAAAGTAAAAAGTTCACTGCCTGTAGGGATGGAACATCGATCGTATAACATCGATGTTAGCCATCGATGTTTTCCTAACATCGATGTTTGACAACATCGATGTTCTGATAGTTTGCCAACGCATACAAATTTTAAACCGATTAACTTAAACTTAAATAATTTTATTTTACTACTGCTATGACAATAAATAATCGACTAAATTTATTCAACTTATAGTTTCCACATTTTTCGGTTAACTGCTATGCCGCGCTATCGTTTGTATCGGCACTATCAAAGAGTTCGCAGCAAATGTTTCTATCTAGTATCAACATCAAATGTCCGATGTTTTCATTTTAGGATGCAACATCGATGTTCTATCGATGTCCCAAATCTCCAACATCGATGTTTTTCTGCCATCCCCAACTGCCTGTAAGTCGACATCTTTTCGACGAAATGCAAAATGGGACAGACTTAACGCGTTTTTAGTTAAATTTTAAAAATTTTGTGAAAAAATCCTGCTCTTGCGAACTCTTTAAAAATCGTTGTATCGAATCGTTGTTCTTTTCACTTGCCATTATTTCATAAAACTGTTTGCCAAGCAAAAAATTGCAAGTTATAGTTTGCAATGTTCTGCGTTAAATGTAGGAATGGAACATCGATCCTCTAACATCGATGTTGACATGGAAAGGTAATATCGATGTTAGGGAAATATTGAAGACAGAACATCGATGTTTTCTGCCATCCCTAACGGTCTGTAAATCGACATCTTTTCGATGAAATGCAAAATGGGGCAGACTTAACGCGTTTTTAGTTAAATTTTAAAAATTTTGTGAAAAAATCCTGCTTGCAAAAGTCTACTCGACTTTGGATTCCCTTGGAAAAGCTTGGCAGAGCGTCACTGAACAGAAATTCTCACTGATTGAATATATTTTCCTTAATTTGCTGCTTTTCCGCGAACTCTTTAAAAATCGTTGTTCTTTTCACTTGCCATTGTTTCATAAAACTGTTTGCCAAGCAAAAAATTGCAAGTTATAGCTTGCAATGTTCTGCACTAAATGGAGGAATGGATCATCGATGGTAGCCATCGATGTTGACATCGAAAGGTAATATCGATGTTAGGAAAACATCGAAGACAGAACATCGATGTTTTTCTGCTATCCCTAACGGTCTGTAAATCGACATCTTTTCGATGAAATGCAAAATGGGGCATACCTAACGCGTTTTTAGTTAAATTTTAAAAAATTTGTGACGAAATCCTGCTTGCAAAAGTCTACTCGAGTTTGGATTCCTTTGGAAAAGCCTGACAGAGCGTCGTCTTGAAAAATCGTTGTTTATTTCACTTGCTACTGTTTCATAAAACTGTTTGCAAAGCAAAAACTTGCAAGTTATAGTTTCATATGTTCTGCATTCAATGTAGGGACGGGACATCGATCCACTAACATCGATGGTAGCCATCGTTATTGACATCGATAGGTATTATCGATGTTTGGGAAACATCGAAGGCAGAACATCGATGTTTGATACCGTCGATGTTTTTCTGACATCCCTAACTGCCTGTAAGTCGACATCTTCCCGTTGAAATGCAAAATGGGGCAGACTTAACGCGTTTTTAGTTAAATTTTAAAAATTTCGTGAAAAAATCCTGCTTGCAAAAGTCTACTCGAGTTTGGATTCCTTCGGAAAAGCCTGGCTGAGCATCACTGAACAGAAATTCTCACTGATTGCAGTCTTGAATATATTTTCCTCAGTTTGCTGCTTTTCCGCGAACTCTTTAAATATCGTTGTTTATTTCACTTGCCACTATTTTATAAAACTCTCTGAAAAGCAAAAAATTGCAAGTCATAGTTTGGAATGTTCTGCGTTCAATGTAGGGATGGGAGATCGATCCACTAACATCGATGGTAGCCATCGTTATTGACATCGATAGGTATTATCGATGTTTGGGAAACATCGAAGGCAGAACATCGATGTTTGATACTATCGATGTTTTTCTGACATCCCTAACTGCCTGCAAGTCAACATCTTTCCGTTGAAATGCAAAATGGGGCAGACTTAACGCGTTTTTAGTTAAATTTTAAAAATTTCGTGAAAAAATCCTGCTTGCGAAAGTCTACTCGACTTTGGATTCCTTTGGAAAAACCTGGCAGAGCGTCGCCTTGAAAAATCGTTGTTTATTTCACTTGCTATTGTTTCATAAAACTGTTTGCAAAGCAAAAAATTGCAAGTTATAGTTTGGAATGTTCTGCGTTCAATGTAGGGATGGGTGATCGATCCACTAACATCGATGGTAGCCATCGTTATTGACATCGATAGGTATTATCGATGTTTGGGAAACATCGAAGGCAGAACATCGATGTTTGATACYATCGATGTTTTTCTGACATCCCTAACTGCCTGCAAGTCAACATCTTTCCGTTGAAATGCAAAATGGGGCAGACTTAACGCGTTTTTAGTTAAATTTTAAGAATTTTGTGAAAAAATCCTGCTTGCAAAAGTCTACTCGAGTTTGGATTCCTTCGGAAAAGCCTGGCAGAGCATCACTGAACAGAAATTCTCACTGATTGCGGTCTTGAATAGATTTTCCTTAGTTTGCTGCTTTTCCGCGAACTCTTTAAAAATCGTTGTTTATTTCAGTTGCCACTATTTTATAAAACTGTTTGCAAAGCAAAAAATTGCAAGTTATAGTTCGGAATGTTCTGCGTTCAATGTAGGGATGGGAGATCGATCCACTAACATCGATGGTAGCCATCGTTATTGACATCGATAGGTATTATCGATGTTTGGGAAACATCGAAGACAGAACATCGATGTTTTTCTGCCATCCCTAACGGTCTGTAAATCGACATCTTTTCGATGAAATGCAAAATGGGGCAGACTAAGCGCGTTTTTAGTAAAATTTTAAAAAATTTGTGAAAAAATCCTGCTTGCAAAAGTCTACTCGAGTTTGGATTCCTTTGGGAAAGCCTGGCAGAGTGTCGTCTTGAAAAATCGTTGTTTATTTCACTTGCTATTGTTTCATAAAACTGTTTGCAAAGCAAAAACTTGCAAGTTATAGTTTTGCGTTCAATGTAGGGACGGGACATCGATCCACTAACATCGATAGTAGCCATCGATGTTGATATCGAAAGGTAATATCGATGTTTGATAACATCGATGTTCACACACTTTTTTGTGATTTTCAAACGACCTGTTAGCAAAAGTTTTCCATTTCCTAACATCCTACAAAACCACTTAAAAATCTGAAAAATGACTCCAAAATCAGCTCTTCCGAATGAAGTAATGAGCCTTTGAGTTTCTCAAGTCGCATTTTTGAAAAACTGTGAAAGAAATCGTGCTCGAAAAGTTCCTTTTGAGGGCATTTGGCAAAAAAATCCATTATTCCGACTCGTCTAGTGGCAATTATAATCCCGGACTCACGCAGTTGTGGATTAAAAATTTACTGTTCCAGGGTAAAAAGCCTCTTGAACGGAAATTATAGGCAAACCTGACACGGTAAATGCGTCGAGAATAAAGAGGGGCCTTGCAAAAGTGGAGCACATAAAACTGCATCCTGTTAAGCCACTGGTGAATTTACGGGGGCAAAGCGGTCGGAACTTTACAGGAATAGCAGCTTCATCCTAATAAATATTCCAGAATTAAGTTTTGTGTTTTATAGGGCCGCACGGCCGTGGAACGCTTCCAAAACAGCGAAACGTGGATCGCTTGCTAACAAAGAGTTTCCGGAACTTTTCACCAAATGGGAAATTCCCTGGAAAATTAAATTCCTACTTGAGAAGAAACGATAAGTGCCTGTTTAGTCCGGCTGGATAAACGGGAATTTTTTTCCCAAAATACTCCACACAGTTCGTTTGTATAGGATGGAAGGCAAATGGGGAAAATTCGGGTGGATTGAAAAGTGTTGTTGCATTTTCAAGGCGCTTTTATTCAAAGAAGCACATAAATTGACGCTTAGAGTGAAGGAACCAGCCGGTATAGGTGGTTCCGTAGCTGGAAACACGAAAGTGATGGCAAAAGTCTTGTTAGTTGAGGGAAAAACTTACTCTTAAGCTTCTCAGGGAGTATTCGGTTGGAGTGCGCTCCATCAAGTGGGAGGGCCAATAGTGAGGGAACCATTCGCTTTTCCGTTCGGGTTCGTAGAAGTCCATCTGGCCTCTGATGTTATAATCAATGTAGTACTTCGAATAGGGCACATGCTGATAGTATTTATGCCCGAAAATCGGATCGTAGCTGAGAGTAAGCATGATATCTAAATTGTGAATGTTTTTTAACTAAAAACCCTGTTGGAAGGACAACAATCAATAAATGCGTTAGAATCTCATCACTAATTCACTAGTTTGAGAAGCTTTGAGAAGCTGATTGCTCACCGATATTTCAAGTTCGTGCACAAGTCGAGCGAGTTTACTAATAATGTAAAGGTAAAAATGTTCGTCGCTTACGTCTTTCGTGGGTTCTGGAAACGTGCCAGAACGACATTTATGATTGAATAAGTTGGTTAATTAAACGCTCGGATAACGTTGAGCTACAATTTTCCGAAAAACCTAAATAATTGCCAGAGAGGGACACTCAGATCAATTTAATTGTCGGTGAATGGAAGAAAGCAAACGTTCCATCGAGGACGTGAACTTTTCGCATCAAGCAAAGAAAATCAGGCATTTTTTGTGAGATGAGAATGCGAGTGTTTTCAACTGATGGCTAGGGAAATCGAACTAAAATTTGCGTTTTTTTATAACAAAAGTTGGGTGGAAATTTGGAAGAAGAATTTAAAAAAAATGCGCTTGGTAGGTGATTTGGAGTGAATTTTTCAGATTTTCAACATTTCTCCATCTGAAAGGGACCCTCTGTGTAGTAAATGCTAAAAGGGGTTTTTCGAGAATATTAGAAAGTGGGATAAACTTGTACGAACAAGGGTTTTAAAAAAATCGACAGGACAAAATCAAGCGCCATTTGAAAAAGTTTCAGTTTGAAACATTTCTGCAGCTGTTTGCAGGATCGATTTTCTTCAGCAAGGATTTCCAAATTTGTCAATATTTAAAATTTGCTTCTTACTGAATGAGAAAGTGAACTTTTGAAAGTATGAAATGTGAAAAAATGAAAAATTTATTGGCAACTTTCCTGTTTTTCTAGGAGTTTCATGAAATAACTGAATAATAATAGTACTTAAGCAAAATTTTGAAAAAATCAGCGGATAGAAGCAAGAGCATTCAGGACTCAATTTCAACTAGTGAAACTTTGGTTCGATCACAATCTCTCACGCTTTGCGCGAAAAACTCGTTTTGCATCAGCGCTTTATTTCAATTTCTAGTGGCATTTTTCTGGATTTTCCCAGAAGAATTGCAATAGGATTTCGTTTCTGCTAACAAGGATTTTCTGAAAATTTTATATTATTGTTCTGCTGAAAATGGTTTTTATAGGCAAGGTTTTAAAACATTGACAGAAGAAAATCAAACTGCTCTCTAAAACTTTCGAAAGAAAACGTTTAATTTTGATATAAATTTCA